GGTTCTATAAATATATAATTATAAATGAAAGTGTAAAGATAAATATACATAAATATCAATAAAATAAGATAAATACCAAATTACATAAATAAATAAAAGCCCAACCAGACGGAAGCCCTCGGCAGGGGAGACCAAACGGCCGAGGGTTGGGGGGAAAGGGAAAGAAACCGGCGGAGACGATGCGGGCGGTATCGAAGAGCACCGCCTTCTGCATTTGACCCCGGAGCGGTCCGTCACGGAGTCCTAGTCGCCTCAGATGACCAGAGAGGCAAACTGGGATTAGCCCATTCGCAGAGACGACTACAGGAATAATTTCGGTCGGCAGACCACCCCACATGTCGGTCACCTCGTGAGCCAGGTCCAGATATTTTGATTGCTTATCTGTTTCGGCTTTCACGAGGTTCTTATCATACGGAATGGTAATGTCGACCAAAAATATCCTTGACTGTGCCCGGTCCATCAGCACAATATCAGGCTTATTCGCAAGAATAGTCCTGTCTGTGATGATGGCCCGGTCCCAGAAGAGCCTGGCGCGGTCATTTTCGAGCACGGCTTCCGCAAGTACTTGTAATACGGTACACTGTTTCCGGTCCACGAATTCGTATTTCAGAGCGAGCTCCTGGTGAAGAATTCTGGCTACTAGGTTGTGCCTGTGCAAGTACTCAGAGTTAGAAAGCGCCGAACAACCGGAGATGACATGCCTAAGTGACTCACCGGGATGGCGACAAGAAACAGAAACAGAAACTTTTTTATTCATTGTAGGTTATAACAATACGTATTGAAAGTCACTTTTTTCATTTACCACTGGTTCGCAAAAAAAAACCTCTGTCCTGGGAAGAACCAGCAAGGAACCCTGCGGGATTATTTTTCCAATAATAGCTTACAATAATGTTTACAATAAACAACACAAAACGAATTAGAAATAGCTTGGTAGCGATCATCCTTCCCAGGGGTTATTATCATCCATAAATTTCTTAATATTATAATAACCCTTTTTATACAAACTTAGTTTAATAACATTTTTAAACTTTGTGTGTGACAAATTTTGTATATTTTCTTGGATTTTGTTGTAAAAGCGTATACATCGCCCCAAGAATGAATTACTGACTCGGTGGAGTCGACAGACGATGACGGTGCCATCCTTTAGGATGTAGCTCCGATAGTTGTTGGTCTTAATAACCTGATCCTGTATTGCACAGACAAAACCCTCGGTTTCCCCCGAAGAGGTCACCGAAACGTAGCCAGTTGAGGGAGGCAACTGTATCTACGAAGGGCTCATGAAGAGCTCTTGGGTCGGATGTATGCTGGTCTCATTGCTCCTCTATCATCCGTATCCCGGTGTTCGGCTCTCATTACCGACGATCTTGATGATGCTCTATGGGACGTCATGGTAGTGCGAACTTTTCTATCCAGGCCGTTAAGTTCAGTCTGAGTCTACCTGAGTATGCCAAAGGTATACATGAGGACAAGCATGACCCAACCGTTATATGCGTGTGTCTTATTCGCACCGGACAAAAGGCTGTTAAGCACTTTGGTCAAGCGTGCATAAAACACGTCGCAAACTGACTGTTTTATACCAGCCTCATCGATACCGACGTTCTGTGACATACCCAGGTATCGGTATGTTTCAGCCTCGGAAAGGGTCCTTAAGTTGATGGGCATAGATAAGTCTATGCCCTCAGAGTTAGCAACCCTTCCTCTTTCAATATGGAGGACCGCATACTTATCCGTCCCCAGCTCCATTCCAATGGAATTGCTAAATTCACAAGTGATGTTTAGCACTTCCATAAGATGGGAGCGACTGGAGGCGAATAACTTGAGGTCATCCATATAGAAAAGGTGGGTCACTTTTGTCCCTCCTTTCCGTAGCTGAAATCCCCTCCCGGAGCCCTCCAGTAAGGTACTGAGAGGGTTCAGAGAGAGGCAGAACCAGACTGGACTCAGACAATCGCCCTGGAAGATACCCATTCTTATCCTTATGTGGTTCTCCGCAGCCATTATCTGCTCGCCCAGATAACAGAAGATCGTACTCCACTGCCCCATACACTGCTCGAGGAAGTTTCGAACTGTACAGTCAATCTTGTACAGAGAACCCTCTTTAGCCATGTATGGGGCACCGAGTCGAATGCCTTTCTGTAGTCTATCCAGGCGGCGGAGAAGTTCCGATGGTTGCATTTCACCACTTTGCCAATGGCCGCGTCAATGAGGAGTGGTTCTTTGGTTCCACGACCACCGCCCCGACATTCATTTTGAGCGCGTGACATCACCTGATTTAGCTCAAGGTGACGAGTGAATCTCGCGCTCAAAATGGATGTCAGTGTCTTATACTGGGTGTCCCAGAATTATTGAATCAAACTGCCATGGGAGGTAGCTTGACCTGACCTATCCCTAAAAAATATTTAAAAAATATATATATAAAAAATATAAAAATATAAATATAAAAAAATATAATGGCCATCGATTTTAATTTATTTATTTGTTTTATTGAAATTGTATGGAATTTTCTTAAGTTTACGCCTATACTTATTACGTTTTGAGTTTATGTGCACCTTTTTCTTACTAATAGTAATTGTATGTGATTGTGTGGTCTGACTATAAATAAACTTTTTAAAATAATGACTAGACTTGGAGTTCAGATCACATTATTTTAACATTTTTTTGCACTAATAATGTTTATGCTAATTTGACTTATTGTGGTGTAAAAAAAATGTATGGCCCCTTTCTAACAAATAATTAGAAAAACTTGCCCACTTAATGAAGATTCTAAAATGGTACCCATCATCAAATTCGCTCAAGGATGTTCGGAGATATTGTAATTATTGTAGGACAAGGGCGAAAATTATCAAGATATTCTAAATTTCACAAATCGTTTTTTTTGCAACTGATGATTAAAAATACCGCGGCTCTACCCTTTATCTACTACCTGCTTCCCAACCTTATTGTTATCCCACCCAAGCGCATGTCATTGTGTTGTCTCCCTCCCACAATACCATTGTGTTGTTTGCTCACGCATTCCATAATTCCATTGCATTCACTTACACGTGCGACGTTCTGTGCTATCCCCGTTTGGCTGTGCTCTCCCTAGAATTGTAACATTGAGATTGTTTGTGTTTTGGACTGATTTTTCATTAAGACTAGGCGCTACAACGTACGTCGATTTTCTTTTGCATTATGGCCAATCGACGACTAGACAACGAAAATGTGTATACCTCAGCCGAGTACGTCGATATGCATCTCATTTACGGTGAAACGAGACGCTTAAACACCAGAGGAGGGGTATCTTACTCCGCCAGGGAAGCGGCGAGGATTTACGCGGAACGATATCCAAATCAATCACCCGCAATATGGAGTATTTTTGCGTGTTCACAACGCCTTCTCTGAAGGAAGGCTACCCGGCGGCCGTGGCAGTGAAGGCAGACCTCGCGGACGTAACGTGGATGTTGTTATTCAACAAGTTAGAGAAGATCCGTCGACTTCAGTGAGGGCTATTCAAAGGAGAACCGGAATTCCTAAGTCATCCGTTAATCGAATTCTAAAAAGAATGAAATATCATCCTTATCATATTCAAAAGGTCCAGACTCTCCTATCTCGCGACTATGCGTCACGGGTACAATTTTGCCGAAGAATGTTGGAGTTTTATCGGGAGGACCCGAACTTTTTCAACAAAATTTTGTGGAGCGATGAATCCGCCTGCAGGAAGGACGGGTACATAAACTTGCACACCTGCATAGTTGGCAGTTAGCAGTCAACCCCCACGAAACAAGGCAAGATCATTCGCAATACCAGTTTAAAATTAATTTGTGGACAGGTATTTTTAACGGCCGTATCATAGGACCTGTGAACTGTGACCGTCGACTTTAAATTCTGATAATTATTTAGAACTTTTAAGAGACACGCTACCAGGACTTTTGCAACAAGAGTCACAAGAAATCAGGGAAAACATGTGGTTACAAAACGACGGATGTCCAGCCCATTATGGTCGCCAAGTAAGGTCTTACTTAGATGAGACTTATCCTGGGCGGTGGATTGGCCGGCTAGGGCCAATTCTGTGGCCACCAAGGTCACCAGACCTCAATCCTCTTGATTTTTTTTTATTGGGGTTGTCTGAAGGACAGAGTCTACGCGAAACCGATAACAACACAAGAAGAATTAAGACAACGTGTCCATCAAGCTGCTCAAGAAATTTCAGAAATAAATTTACGGCCGTTAAAAAGGAACTTTTTAAGCAGGTGCAGGTTATGCATTCGAACAAATGGTAAACATTTCGAACATCTTTTATGAAAATTTCTTTTTAAATAAACTTTAAATCCGTTTCTTGTTTCATTTTTCTCTTAACTTCCAGCTCCACAAAAACCTACATTTATAGTTATTTGTGTGCACTTAAATGACATAATACAAAACGAAAATTAAATAATTTATTAATCAAAGCAGGTTATGAGGACCCATGTAGGTGGTAGCAGAGTTGATAACAACAGACACGTAATATTGTAAGCATCGTAGTGTTGCTAAACGGATAGTAATTCATGTTGTATTACCAAAACAAACTAATAAAAAAAACTAAACTTGCCTTTGTACTACAAGAATTACAATATCTCCGAACATCCTTGAGCGAATTTAATAATGGGTACCATTTTAAAATCTCCATTAAGTGGGCAAGTTTTTCCAATTATTTCTTAGAAAGGGACCATACATTTTTTTACACCACGATAAGTCAAAGTAGCACAAACATTATTAGTACAGAAAAAAATGTTAAAATAAAGTGCTCTGAACTCCAAGTCTAGTCATTATTTTAAAAAAAATTGTTCATAGTCAGACCACACAATCAATTACAATTATTGTTAGTAAGAAAAAGGTGCAAATAAACTCAAAACACAATAAGTATAGGCGTAAACTTAAGAAAATTCCATACAATTTCAATAAAATAAATAAATTAATTAAAATCGATGGTCATGTGCGTTATATTTTTTTTAGTATTTTTTAGGGATAGGTCAGAGGTCAAACTACCTCCCATAGCAGTTTGATTCACTAATTCTGGGACATATACAGGATATGGTGGGTAGACACGTGATGAGACGGTATTTGCTCGGGTCTGTGGTATCCTGATCTTTAGGAACCAAATGAGTGATCCCAGTAGTGAAGAGGGTCGGGAACGACTTCTCGTTGAGAGCCTCTTGGAACTGTCGGGTGAGCACAGCGTGACACACTACGAACCCCTTCAGCCAGTAATGATGCAGCCCGTGGAGCCCCGGACTTTTCCAGTTTGGGGCCCTACGGACCGCCTCAGCCACCTCTTCTGGCGTTATGGTGACGGGGTCCATAGGCGTAACACTCTTACTCTGGCTCGCCACATCCACATCCATCCAAGGGCGCTCGTTGTGGTTTACGGGTTCTGACAACAGGCCACGCTAAAATGTGACAGTGTCAGCCTGATCCGGTCCTGGACCCGCTACACATATCTCTAGTCGCTCCAATGATTTATAGAGTCTCTTCTGATCACTCTGGAAGAGACGATTCTGGTTGAACCGCCTTGACCTCTCGCTAAATCGTCGAATCCGCTTCCCCCAAGCAGCGATTTTTTGCTTCAGGTCATCTATGCACTCCGTTAGTTTCTGCGTGATATCCGGCTGGGACAAACTAATATTTATCCCAGCAAACGCCATTCTAACAACACGGTGCGCACCACTCTCGGTCTATTATTACCCGACCTGAAGCTTGTCAGTCTGCCGATAAGGGCTCTTGCCTTTACGATACGGTCCTCAATTCTCTTTTTCTAGGCTGGGATGGCGCTACTTTGTCGAGTAGCACGTCCAGCCATGCGAAGTTTGGCGCCAATAATACGGCATACTGCCAGTGCGGCGCCAAAAAGAATTGAGTACGTCTCGCAAAGGTCCCGGCTGGCTTCCAAATAGGTCACCAGCATTGGGTTAAGAGCCCGCACGACAGCCCGATTTCGCTTGCTAAGGGGTATGCGGGGAAGTCGCGGTCGATTTTCGAGGCATGCTGAGCGTTTCTAGCATAGACTCTTCCAATATGCTCCTCATTTTCTCTAGTTCGTGAGGGACTAATCTATCATCGTCTGAATCAACTACAGATGGAATATTGACGGCAGCATCCACATATGCAGTTTGCTGCGCAATTAGTGGCGCCGCATTCCCAGCCGTAGCATTTCCATCCGATGAAGGAACAGCCTCACGTTGTAGTCGTTCGAGTTCGGCGTCACCAAATCTGTTGGAACGCAGGATGTACTGAACTCGGTCTGCCAGGTTTTGCTCAGTGACGGATAGAGATCTCTACTCCAACTCTGCAAAAAAGCGATGCATCTGAGCCCGTATGCCAAACATCCAGTTTCTTCCCCTTTTGCCTTAAAGTACGCCCGCAGTGCGTTTGCGTTCATTGTTTGTGACCAACGCATGCGACGTGCTCCACCAGCGGCAGGTGCCGCTTGTTGAGTACGAGAAGACCCAGCCGACACCAAGCCTTCTGATGGGGATGATGGCGGAGGGCGGCTAGGTGACCGTGCAGCTCCTCGCAGTCGGCTGGCGGCCCGCATGCTGCCGCGTCCAGCGCCAGCTCCAGACGCGCCCTGGCGATCCCAGGCAGCGGCCATATGCGCGTTCCTCTTTGTGCCACCATCCATTTTATGGGCGCTAAATAACGGGAGACGCCCAAGCCCGGAACCGTTTCGTGGCACCGTTATTATGGTAGCGGAATTAAGTGAAGAACTACCCCAGGAGGGTACTAGCACCCTTGGTGACAGAAAATCCCTCGCTAAGCATCCACGACCAATTTATCCTACTCTTCCTGAGGGTGGGTGCTCAGGCTGCCCCCCGCGTATTCTCGGAGAAGGGAGGGGCGCAATTCCGCTAGCGAAAAATACTGCTCGGGACAAGAGGAGCACCAAGGCAACCCCTGCCACGCTATCCGTGAATTTTTGCAACATCAGGGGACTTCATTCAAACCTTAATGCTGTCCACTACCATCTGGAGACGGCGAAGTCGGCATTACTCTATTTAACCGAAACTCAGGTGTCTTCTCCAGCTAATACTTCATATCTCTCCTACCCGGGGTACAAATTGGAACATTGATTTGTGCCCCGGGCTGGAGTTTGCGTATACGTCAGAGAGGACATCTGTTTTCGACGCCTCGGCAGTCTTGAAGGTACGGACCTGTCCATCCTATGGCAGCGTGTAGACAGCGACGACCATCCCCGCGTCTACGGTGCCTCTGTAGGTCCCATAGCGGTAATACCGAAACAGATCGACTCATCGACCACGTCTAAATGGCTACAGATTCCGTGCTACAGCAGATCCCATCCGCAGTAATCGTGATGCTTGGCGATTTTAACGCCTACCACGCCGAATGGCTCGGTTCACGTTGAACCGATTATGCGAGGAGATCTGTTTATGACATATGGTCTGACAAATATGGTTACTTCGCCTACGCGGATTTCAGATGTGGAAGATCATACACCTTCCCTGTTGGACAATTCTGTTGACCTCTCATCCGGACGGATATCAGGTTTCCGTCGACGCCCCGCTAGGCTCGTCGGATCATTGTCTTGTCTGGAATGTGGTGCCAGGTACCTTAACGTCACGGTTGCATTCTACAGGCTGCCACCGTGTTTGGCACTATAGGTTGACAGATTGGCATAGAATGCGGTCTTTTTATGTATCCTACCCTTGGGGGCGGGTTTGCTTCTTGCCAGACGATCCTAGCGTTGTTGCTGATTCTGTCGCTGATGTGATACTTTAGGGTATGGAACTTTTTATTCCGTCCTCTGTGGTGCCCATCGGAGGCAGATCCCAGTTATAGTTGGGTCGCTCCTGTAAAATATCATCACGCTATTAGTGGGTGTGCTACCGGGCCTGTGCTGACGCATCAACGTCTCGGGATGTAAACACCAGCGCTCTTAAATAGAAGTATAATTCCGCCTCCAGGCCCTTCAAAAGAGCCATTGCCAAGGCAAGGTCTGAACACATCGGCAGAATTAGCGAGAAGCTAGTTCGCCCGCCTTCACGAAACCCGTGCATTCCGGCCTCCTCTCCCTGGACGTCAACAAATCGAGAGAGATGGAGTCTCTCCCATGGTGCTGAAGACGTGTGATCCGGAATTAGCACCGGTCTTAACGCGTCTTTTCCGGTACTTCTACTCCCAAGGCGTAGTCCCGAATTCTTAGAAGACAGCTTTGGTCCACTGATCCCTCAAAAAGTTCACCTCCTTGTTCTCCAAAATAATAGAGTCCATTGTAAACTGCCAGCTCATGAGGTAACTTTAGGATCACTAGCTGTTGGCGCGACTTCTAACGCCGCCTAGCGACGCACCGGAACACCAAACTTTTAGCTACGAATCAGAGCTCGTCATTGTTAGCAACCAATCACAGCACGTCGTGCAATTAGTTATAAGATCTGTCTGTATTAAATTTTGATTATTACCTGATACACACTGTTAGCAATAAGACGACTTAAATATAACCAACAAACGTTCAATAAATAAATAAATTGAAGAGCACCTGCCTCCCGTTCCTGTACATAAAGTGGTCCTATCGAGCCGAATAAGGAGTTCAAGCTTGGAATCTCCGAAGATTCGTCGCATCAAAATACGAAGAGGAGATTCACGTATCGAGCGAAGAGCTGCAACGTTAAGGCATCGACAGACAGGAGTGGCAGGTTTGAACTTCCCGTCCGTTTCCCCATCTCATCCTTCGATAGGTGTTGATTTCGTGCTGATATTCCATTTCCAGTGCTCAAGTGGCGGTACCTACCTGCGCAACGGCACCCACCTTGGTTCGCACGCATATACAAATTGGCAACTGTAAGTACTCTTGATTTCCTTAAATCCCAAAATGAGTGAGCCCAAATTGTCAGATTTAATTAAGAAAAGAGGAGTTTTAAAAGGTCGATTAACTCTGTTTGAAAATTATGTTAAAAAGTTCACTTTACCCTTGACTGAACAACAGTCATTAGAATTAAATTTACGTGTCGAGAGTACTTCGAGTTTGATAGAGATGTATAGTGAAATACAGACTAAAATTGAAGAAGAGGTAGCGGAAGATCTCGATCTTGTAAAACAGCTGGAAGAGAGAGATCGTTTCGAAAATCAATTTTATTGTGCTGTAGCTTCTGCAAAACTTTTATTGAGAAAGGAAGTAGCTGACAAGTCTAGTGTTTCAACATGTAAGCCGATAGGCATAAAGTTACCCGATATTAAAATACCTTCCTTTGACGGTTCATACGATTGCTGGCTAGAGTTTAAAAATTCTTACGTTAGTATGATTCATGATCGCGATGATTTAGGTCCTGTTCAAAAATTTCATTATTTAAAATCGTCATTGTCCGGTACCGCGGCACACGTCATAGGTGCATTAGAATTTACGGCTAACAACTATTCTCACGCATGGGAGCTATTAGAGAATAGATTTAATAATCCGCGACTATTGGTTCATAATCATGTGAAGGCATTATTTAAAATTCCATCGTTAAATAAAGAGTCCGCTTCCCAGATTAGGAACTTAATAGATATTGTTTTGAGAAATTTGCGTGCCCTTAAAACGTTAGGTGAACCAACAGATTCATGGGACACTTTAATCATTTACATGGTCGTTTCCAAATTAGATCAGGCCATTGAACGCGAATGGGAAGATTTTCAAGGTACAGCTAGTTCATTAATTGAATCGAGGTCAGCTTTGAAACTGGATGACTTACTTAAATTTCTTAAGGACCGCGCCGACGTTTTAGAAATGATAAAAGTCAACCATAACAAATCCCACGAGAACAAAGGCGGCGAACAAACGCGCTCTAAGAAACAATATACACATACTCATGTTGCTACGAACGTTACTAACAATAACAATAAGGGTAATACGAAACTAAAACAAAGCCGCGTGTGTGTGATGTGTCATGGTAATCACGCGATTTATTCCTGTTCAAGGTTTCTTAATTCGTCTATCCAAGAAAGGAATAAGATAGTTAAAACGCATCAGCTGTGCATCAATTGTTTACGCACAACCCACCCACTTAACGAATGCAAGTTTGGGCCATGTAGGTTGTGTGATAAAAGGCACAACAGTTTGCTTCACATTGATGGGCAGGTAGACGGCGCATCACAGGTGAGCGGGTCGAGTGCATCAGCACAGCCGGTCACCGCTAATGTCTCCACTGTCTCGTCATCATTACACGTTACGGCTAACCATTCAGAATCGCAAAACAGTAATCAGGAATATTCGTTATTACCCAACGTTTTGCTGTCCACAGCGTTAGTGGACATAGCAGATTATAATAACAAATATCACACTGTACGCATTCTGCTAGATAATGGTAGTCAACATTGTTTCATAAAGAAATCGTTATGTGAAACATTAAAT